GAGAGCGCAAAAGGAGAGAACGTACGTTTCTTAGCTTGATCCACAGCTGCGTTGGCGCCGAGGAGCGTCTTGACGACGATGTCGTGTCCGTTGAATGCAGCAACGAGCAGCGGCGTCACTCCATTCTATACAATCGTACATGTCTTGTTGCCATCTCGAGTGGCCAACGCACCTCGTTGGTCCAGTGGACGTCAGCGCCTTCCTTGAGCAGGTGCTGGACGTCGTCGATGCGACCGTTGAGCGCAGCATTCAACAGCTGAGGACCCTACACCACAAATTGCAAATCCACCGCCGTCGACGTCGTCGTACCAACGTCATCACAATCGCCGGTCCAAAGTGCAAGTGCGGAGACTCGCACCGGTAATCAGTCTCTCGAAACTTGAAAACCGTGCATACAAAAAGTAAGCTTGGCGTACGGACGCTGGACACAGATGTTTTATACTGTTCTATACTGTTTTATACTGTTTACAAACTACAGTACCGGTACTGTATTGCGAACGATTGTGATGTAAAGTCTCTGTAACGTTATATCACTCGTGCTCGACAACAAGGCGTCGTCGACGAGCACGGCTCGATCATGACCGTGCTCGGTGACCAAGGGAATAACTATTTATTCCCTTGTCGGTGACGAGTCGTCACCGATCCACGACCTGTTGCAGTCGCACGCGCCACTGGAGGATGCAATGACCAGAAATGAGCCCGCGCCAACCGGACAAGATTTCGTGTCGCCCGAACAACGCCACTGCTACCGACGCTCACGGACGCTGTCGCGAGTCTATCAAAGCACTCGGGCGTCTACAAGCGGTACGTGCAAGCGTGTGGCGGCTATGGCCTCGCGGCCACAACGCTTGTTCGGTATCTGAGCGCCCAAGCCACCACAGTCCTCGCAACGTCGTTGTTGTTGTTGAAGTGGGTCGTCTATTACTATAGATAAAACTATGCTAAATAAATTGTCGGACTTTCTTCGTTGTGTGTACTCGGTTGAGGGACTTGGTTTAGGCAGGCGGAGGCAGGAGCGCGAACTTGCTCGTTTCGTTGTGGCACCTCCGTGCGTCCTGATATACCAATAGATTCGGCATGTGCCGATACTTGTTGTCGAGATTCCATATGTCCAGATATACCGGTATGTCCGGTTGTTGACGACATTTGGTCGTCTTTTTGACCAATCAAAAGCGGCGAATCAGTGTTCGACATCAAGGCTCCTGGAACTGCAATCAACCAACGTGATCAGGTATTAGACTCTCTCTCTCACTCGATGAACTATACAATGAAATGATCTCTTAGGAGGGCTACACGGTCCTTGCGCGCGCCGTGGTGGCTGGGCGTGATGCTGTTGCCGAGCTTCTTCTCGACGCTGGCGCTGACGTTTGGGCGCCGTTGCCGGTAGTACTTGATTCGCAGTCGCTCTAACAACGTACTCATTGAGTGCTCTGTAGAACAAGATGACGGTCTTGGCCGCTGCGGTCCAGCACG